GTCTTCAGTTAAAAATCACGAATCACGGCGTGGACTACTTTATATCAATATTACCTTCAACCCGTTATTTCGTTTGCCCGGACATGATTGATAGGGATAAAAAACATCTCAAATAATACATTATATTTCATAATATTTATCAATAAAAGCGAAGGCACATACAGACAAAGTCATATACTAACTGTCCAACGATATCTTCTGCCTTTTTTAGGTCAACGATGTTCAGTGAACAAAGCTCTGATTTTCAGCGTCAACCGATTTGAAGGTAAGTAAAATAGTTAACAAAGAAAAAGAGCAATAAAAACAAGTGTCAATTTGTTTAGTAAAATCATAGATAACATAATATTACATAGTAATATGACAGAAAGTAGGAATATAAATCGTAGTATAATTTAATATAATCTGATATTTAATGAACTAAAAGAAATAGAAATAAAATTAATATACCTATGGATAAAAGAAATAAATAATAACAATCATTCAGATGTTGTTCCAACATTTTGTTGCTTGGTAGCGGACGCTGCTAGTGAAAAATTACGATTCAATGAATCTGCATCCTGGAGCTGATGGAATCGCTTGAGTATTATGTATTGTAGCTGATGTGTGTATTAGCAGTGGGATCACAAGAAGAGCATTTAGCAAGATCTACCTTCATCCTCGAATTAACGACTCAGATTGTTGAAAGATGAGCTTTCTTTGACGCACAGGAACATGTTAAAGTTTCTATACATATAAGTTAATATTATTGTATATTGCTAAACGCCTGTTATATTAAAAAAAGCAAATGCAGATAGTTATCATTTATTTTGTTTATTATGTTATTGACATTCGATTTTTTTAATTCATTCTTCATAAAGTTTGCAAGTACCTTTTATGTGATTTTTAAGAATATTAGGATGGACTTAAAGATGTAACTCCATCCTAATTTATCCAAAATATATATGTGCATTATCTGTACCGTCAATAACTTATCTCCGTACCACCGATTAGTGACTGGTAGAAAAAGCCACAAGTCCGTCACATGCACTTTTACCTTTGTATTACGTGCATTAAAATTATATATGTCTAAAATATCCGCTGAGCCATTCAAAAATGGACAGATAGACTGATATACTTTTAAATATGTAATATTAAACATGAATTAACAGAATTGTTTAATAGCTTCATTAGACTACAGAAGATATCTACTTCATTATACCAAGTCCTCTAAATAAATCCCTATATCTTAATTATTCTATTACTTAAAAAATAATTAACATTTAAGTAACAATTAATACAATTTAAAATTACATACTATGTAAAATATCACGGTAAATACTACAAGTAGGTAACACGTCAACTACAAATGCTTTCAAACCGAAATACCTGTCTAATATATTACACTAGAATTTTATCAAAGCATAATTGCTACTTGAAAAATTGCAGGCGACATGTATAAATTAACGAAATTAAATAATACTTACTGCTAGTAATTAATTTCATCGGTAAAATACCACTATGGGAAAAAGTAATTTTATTAAAATTTATGTATTTAATTAGTAGTGTTATGTGGTGTTCATTTCATTCAATAGACATAGATGGCATTGCTTACTCATACACATGTATTATAAGGCAGTTTGTTGAATTGGAAATTTAGTAAGATATCCAAAGCTAGCAATACATGTACTATTTTGTTATATAAATATACATACATACGGCTATACGGCCTCTGCAATGTTTCACTAAACATTTCAATAGATAGATTCTCTGTTAACACTCTAAGGTTTTACACAGTGCGCTTTAATTTTAAACTAGAATTGGATTAGCCCAAAAGTAGTAGTGAATTTTTAGGCTTACTCTAAATGATCCAAATTTCTATTTTTTCTTATTAAGTAGTTAACGTAACTTAAGTTAAGTTGACTAACTTAATAAAAAGAGTAGTAGGGATTGTTTGTTTGTAATGGGGACTAACACAATTATTAGAAGAAGGATCTTTACTATCAATGTATCCTGTAAGCCCGACCCCTACACGGTCCCCCTGGAAACATCGTGGTTAAATACTTGAAATTTGATTTCGTGATATAATTTTCCATCGGTCCAGAATATACTCTTAGAGCATAGCATATGCACCATTCCATTATCATCATATCAAAAGAAAGCGTCCTATAAATATATATTTATAGAAAATAAATTTATGGTGTCTAGTTATGAAAATAAATAAGCGGAAAGTTCACAAGAAATAAATTTAAATTCCCTCAATTGCAAAGCACGGGGTACTACGGACGTTAAAATGAATTTTATGTATGGCATCTTTCTGATTATACGTGAGGGTACCACTTTCCATCCGGCGGGCGGATCGCCATCTTGTTTGACATTCCAAGTCGTATAAAATTTAAGTATTCACATGGTTAGGTAAATATAAAAGCATTATATATAAAAGTGTTTGTACATTCGCACCGATACGTGAACTGCGGCTTGCTTATATTTCATGAATCGATTAGTCTCGTTTTTGATGTTGTACCCATATTACCAACCAATCAGTAGAGCCAAATAATGAAACAGTTATAATTACTCTTCATACGTATCTATTTACTAAAATTTTAATTCAAGAAATCGTAATGTTGCTATAAAAAGGTAATAGTTACTTCTGTATACTATGACGACCTTGGTGGTCCAGCGGCTAGCACGCCGCTTTACTTCCGATGGTCTTGTTTTCACGAATATTGTCTGCTCGGTCTGGGTGTTTTCTACGTATATTACGTATATATTAAAAAAAAACGTAAGTGTTTATATAATTTGCCTAGTAGCCATAACACAAGCTCTCTTTACCGTAGGTCTAGATGGCGCTGTGCTAACTGTCCAATCCAATTTATAGTAATGTACTATAAAAATAATGATTTTATATCAATGAATTTTTTTTTTAATTAAATAAAGGAATAAAATTTAATTGTAATATCGTTTTCAATTCTATTTATAGGGCAATTTACAGGACAGTATTATGTAATAGGTAATATTATCCTGTTGAAAATTTTTCAGATAAGAAAATGTATATATAGAAACAATATGATATAGGAGACTATACATTGTCAGTTGTTCCTAATAATATCCTAATAATATGTTTTACCATTCTTAATTGTTTTACCACCTATGTTACGAATACCTTTTTGTCACTTATTATTTAGATGTTTATACCGGAGACTAGTTGTTAGTGACGAAGGCGGGGCTAGAGCACCCTCCGCAGCCCACCCTCGAAAAATGTCAGGAATGGAAACGGTTGTTCTTGATTTTCTATCCTATTCTTATAATAACACCTTGATCAGTATAAACATGCATGTATTTAATTGTTATGTCATTCAGTAATATTAGATAATTGTTTACTGGTTTTTGTTTAAATCTGTTTAACAGTAGGATATTGTTACCCTTTTTTATATTAAAAATATAAATAATGTTTTTTAATAAAATTATCTTTAATATTATACATTCATTATTTCTAATCACCAGCCTATAAAAAACAGAAACAACTATATAAAAATAATGAAAACAATCTTAATTGCAGTATTGATTTAATCAATTGTAAAATTTGTGATTGTATTAATATTGGTTTGTTTATTTTATATATCCTAACGCTCCCCATACTATTGTTATGCGATGTTGAAATAACGACCTGAGTTTTCTGCTTAGTGTTAAATATTTCAATTTTTTGCGTAACAATAGAACATGTACTAAAAATCTATAATCTATACATCTATATATGTAAATAATATTATTGTATATACATCTATATATGTAAGTAATATTGAAATAACCGTTTTTTATATGAATATAAATATGGTACATACACCAAATAACCACTTTTTAAAATTTTTGTCTGTCTGTCTTTCGATCTGTTTGTTCCGGCTAATCTCTGAAATGGCTGGACCGATTTTAACGGGACTTTTTTTGGCAGGTAGTTGATGTGATAGGGAGTAAACTTAGGCTACTTTTATTTTAGGAAAATAAAGTTAAATTCCACGCGGACGAAGGCAGAAGGTGCAGCTAGTATACTATATTAATAAAAATCAAGTGCTGTATCATTCGGAACGGCTGCGTCTACATTTTTATTATTTGTCAGAATTACTTTTAAATATGTCGTAAGTAATTCAATATATTGAATAATTTAAGAATAGAAGTTCTAATGTTTAAGCAGTAATTGTCTTTAGTTTTTTTTTACAACGGTACAAAGAATTATTTTAATTTACTTGAATAATCTACTCAGGCGCAGTCGGTGCGGACAACTAGTTAATATATAAAACTAAGATGAGTGGACATCGATGCCGATTTTCATTTGTCCGTTGAATGTTACTAATATTATAGAGGCTATAGCATATTTGTGAGTATGGATGAATGAACGAATGTTTAGAACTCTTTCACGGAAAAACTAATGAACAGATTTTGATGAAACTATAGTAATATAGTTTATACATCAGAATACCACATAGGCTGTCAATTTCATGGGGACGAACCCGCGGGCATAGCTAGTAAATAATAATTCGTTATTGTGTCCTCCTTTCTTATTCTATGGCCTTGCACATATGGGATAAAATATTGAAAGTGATGCTTGATATAGTAATTCTAGTGTAATAAGCAAAAACCTTGGGCATGTCAATTGTTACTTGTTTAAGAATTAAGCTCTCTTATATAGATACCTATCGTTATGCAAGATAAAGCTTCAATAGAGAAATAGTACCTACCCGACTTCGAAAGTGTAGATACAGTGAAATTGTCAATAAATATTTAAACAGTACATGTACCGATATAATAATATAATGGAAAAGCCAATACACCTACAATAGAAAATGGCGACAACGTTGCATTAAGTAGGTACAATGAAACAAAACCCTCGTTATCAGTGGCACGGCGCGAGTTCCTAATCACTTTCATAACAACCCCGGCAAGGAGGTCGCGCTGCGGCGCTATCACGCACCGTCGTAGTCGGTCCCGCGCAGTGGGTGCGCGCAGGCGTGTGCCATGAGTGGCTCGTGACTCAGACAGGTCGGACAACGGGCACAGCGAGTGGACGCCGCTGCCACACCACACCACGCCACCCGGCCCCAGCCGGGAATGGAGGCCTGCTGCGCGATCACTGCTGCCGAGGACCTTGTGGGCGACCAGGTACTACCACTCGTTACCAAGTGACATGTGAACACCTTACCCCGTGCCGATCGTGTACCAGTGCGCGTCACCTTCTTTTTAAATCGAGAACACAGTGCTTTTTTGAAAACGTGACTTTCTTTCTATATCGTGCTGTTATTTTGGTTTTGACTCACTTGTGATATGTATGGATTGTTTGGCTGGGATGATCAAATGAAAAAGTGCAAGCACTCATTGATTTGCAAGGAAGTCTGGTTTGTAGCCATTGGAATAGCAGTTTCGCGGAATACGAACATATTTACTTAGCAAAGTAGTAATAAATATATTTTTTCGATAACAAAATCAATATTGACACGCAAAAAGACGCAGTGTCGAACGCTGTTGAGTTACGCCGGGAAATGTGGTAGGTATATATACCTATATACCATGTACCTATATAATATATTTTGATTACTACTATGAAATAACTTTATAGTGCAAAAACTATACTTACAGTGTATTAAGTTCAAGAATTTTTTAAACTTTTGTGAATTATGTACCTATATACAGTTTAAGAAATGATGACCAAATAGATATATTAAAACACTACATTAAACTTCAAGACACTTTGCAATTAAATTACTTACTATTTTTACTTATATTACAATACATAGATACAGATTCACTTTTTATACCATAGTGGAATACAACTTTGGCCTACTAATAGTATCTCTACCATGGTGGCGCGGCAGGTTGATATAGAGCAATTTTATATGAAAACTCAATTCCAATTGTCCTTCACTTATATTCTACTAACAAGGCATATTGTACTTCTCCACTTAACCGTTTCTAATAACTCCTGGGAAACGAATAGGAGTTATGGAATTTTGTAATACTACTTGAAGACCACGTATTTTATATCATAAATATAAACTTTTTATACGTTTTACGTACACATATATAATATATATTTTACTATATCATTTAAATTACTGTACTCTGTAGTACTCGAATAACTGATAACTAAAGCGGGAAGTACATAAATAATTTCCTTATAATAGCAATCAAATTACTTCCATTTGTTCATAAGTTTAAAGTTCTTTTTTCAAATTTTGTTTTCGAATGTGTGTTAGAATGGAAAAGACATCAACGCTTACCGTCGGTGTGCGAACAACGGCTTGAGTGTTAATCATTGTCAAATTTTGTTTATATCACATCAAAATGACTATTATTTCATGTATAAATGTATAGTTAATAAGGATTTAGTTGCCCATAATTATAAAATGAATTATTAAAAAAAGAATGAAATATGAATAACATTATTTTGTTTTTAAAGTAATGCCTCTTATGCATTACTTTAAAAACAAAATAAAAATATAGGTACATAATTTTCTTTCATGAAACAAGTATAAATTCATTACAAAAAGAATTATCAATATTCCAAAATTATATAAACTTAAAAAATTCTCTAATGTTTCACACTCCTATACCTAATTAAAAGCAATATTTGAAATCTACAAATCTATAGCTTACATTACAACTCCATCTTATTGAATAAAAACTTATTACATTTTATTGAATAACAATAATAATATGTAAGAACACACGATGAAAACAATTACAAAAAGAACACTTCACATAAAAGTGCCGAACAAAAAGGCTTAAAGCAATCCCTTACCAATATTACAAGCAAATTGAATAAAAACTGTATATCTGTAGGTAAATCGACATATCAACCTGTAGGAAACTTACCTATTTAATGCTCAATGTGGGCGTTGTTCCGCAATACAACCAATCCTAACATTTAATAGCCCTAAACCTGTGAGACACGGTAACAAAATCATCATAAAATAGACAGAATTAAAGAACATCAGAATAGTGTTAATCAAAGCACAGTTATTGTCCGTTACCCACAAACAGCAAACTATAGTTCGTTGCCTACAAGTCCTACTCCAGCAGTATATAATGTTCAACCGATACTTTATTAGCATATTAACTCAAATATTTTTGAATAACTGTCGACTAACAACTAACGAATGGTAGCTATAATAAAAGATTACAACACAACACACCGTCCATTATTCCGACTCCGAAGAAGAAATAGTTTGCAATTCCACTGTATTTTTATTAGCCAACCGTTGACCGGGAATAACATATACATATTATGCATCGATTTTATTTTCACAATACAAAATATTTTACATGTTACATATACTATAAGAAATATAATTCCATTATATTCAGAAGTTGATAGTTATTATAATTTATTCTAAAATGTAGAATTCTTCTCGTACTCCGTTTCTCCAATATTAATTTGCAGTTCCTTTTTTGGTTGGTATTGCACTACAAAATCTGTAGTGCAATACCTATACCCATAATGTAGTGCAAGACCTCTGTAATAACAACTTAAGAACCATCAGAGATGTTATGTATAGTTATATATACTATTATTATATAAAACTCTCCGTAAATACTTTCATTTTAAATTTATACCTAAAGACGACTAGTCTCTTTAGGTATTAATTTATAATCATGTACGTGTATTATAGTAGTATAGTATAAAAACAAACAATTACGATATCTTATTTTACATTCTTTTATTTTTATATTATAGAGTACATTGTATATTATATATAATTACCTTTACTATAATATTTATTTATGAAATATAAATATTTACCTAATTTTTACAAAGATACTACTTGCAATTTAATATATTCTCCTTTGATAATACTGATCAAAAGCAAAACTTAATCTACGAAGTTTGTACATAACATTATATTTTCAATAATATTAGTCAATATTTCTTTAATACGTCTAAAAAATAAAAAAATGAGATCATATTATTTGTATGAATTAATAAATTTCTATGAATTTTACTACAAAAAATATATATTATATTGGAAACAAACAGAAAGTGAAATTACTCTTGATTTGAATTTTATTTTTAGTATTACCTACGTACATGTAAACACAAACAAATTAGTATAATATTGCTGATAACCACGTGCTTAAAATATGTAATTATATTAGCTACTAATTTACGTGTCATAACATTAAAGTAGGTATGTAATATTAGATAGGTTTGCATTAAATGAACGATGTGGTCATTTGCAATGTAATCAATCAACAATAAAATAGATAATCTGAAACAATCTATATATTACATATATCTATAGAAATAAATATAATTTATGTGTCTGTTTTAATTTCAAATTAAAAGCGTTTTACTAAATGTAAAGTAGCTCAAAATTTTACAAAAAGTTAAATTGCACGCGGAGAAGTCGCAGCTAATGGTAGGTATGCCTTTCCTTTTTTTTGTATAATATTAACAGTGAAGGAGGCATGTTATTATTTGCCATTTTTCAATAGTCATCATAATAGTATTTTTTTAATTAAGCTAAGATTCCGCCGCTTGGCGCCAATCCTTATACATTTTTTAGGTGAGCAATTTAAAAAACATAACTTCTATTCATTGATTTTTTAAATACGTTAATTACGTTGCAGATTGTCCCGGGCGGCGGTCACTGGGGCGCTCCACAGGCCGCCGGCCTTCTTGACTCGTGGTTTCAGATGCAGGTTAGTGACTATAATATATTTTCACGTTATATTTACACTTAATTAGTAAGTAAGATGGCAAAATACCAATGACAATTGTCCCACTTAATATAACAGGCTCAGTTTCACCTAATTCTACCACTAAACTTTACAAATACAGGATATGGCAGTATGTAGAATTACAAAATACGGTAGAACAACTTAGATATATGAGACACGCCATGGGTGTTACACATATTCTGTGATGGCCATGGTGTTAGTTATGTTAATAGGTATGTTACAAATTAGCTTTAGATGAACTGCAATTACTTATTTATTAAAAAGTATACATAATTGGTTGTCACTATTTATTTTCTATACACAAAATATAATATTAGGTAAGAATAATCATTTTTACAAAGAAATATTTTGTTTAAATTGTTTAATCTTACCCACACAATTATCGTCCTATCGTCGTAATTTCGCATACTAATATATACATACGGAGAAGATTAAAAAATACTGACTAAGAATATATTTACCAGTATGGAATAATAAGTAAATGTGCATTGTAGCAGGTCTTCTTGTGTGGCAATCTAGTATATGCCTATTAATAGTAACTATATACGAGACTAATCAAGATGTGTGGGTTGTGCGTTTGATATACAGTTGCTGATTCTACATAACATCCCAGTTGTGGGAACAAACAAGGGATAGTCTGCCTACTACTCTAGTCTACTAGATACTTTATACGAAAACAATTAAATCAGTTTTAGATATGCTATATATTGTTTAAAAAAACTGCTTCAGTAAGATTGTTTGTCAGGGGTATCAAATTATACCTATTAATTCAAATAAAAAATAATTCATGTAGGACATTTTACCCACTTATGAACATTGAGTTTTTGTATTAACATTTATTTCCCTACCGTCCAGTTGAGTATATAGATTCAATTGAAAAGAACTGAATTACTTTTTTTTTATAAGCCAATTTATTTTCACTGCATATTTATATATTTTTTATGTATTATTTTATGTATATCTATGTCTAATACTAAATGAAAATTCCGTGCATGAATAACTATTGCATGCACGTTTGTTATTTAAGTAATCATTTAGTGAGTAATACGCTTTTGTTAATAAATATGATTTAACAGATGTTTTAAATTGATAGAAAGGTAATGCCACCATATCCTTTCGATATCTTATCGTAAAATTTTATACTTATTCCCATAAAAACACATTGAATTTATATTGAAATTATATACATACAAACATAACAAATTAAAATTATATTGTTATCTACGCAAAGTTCACTCCAAATTGCAATAACAAGGGAACAGCATGTCAGCTACAAAACTGCTGTTGAAATATATTATCAGTCGATACGAGCATGTGGAGTTCAGCTTAACTTGACTGATATATAAATGCTGGCTCGGACTTACTACTCAGCTTCAACGTTGGTGATCCACTTTAGGCCCAATAAGCAACTGATAAAGCGGATGTCAATTCTTCAAAATAAAGCTATGTATAGGTCTACTTTATTTAGATAAAGATATTGTTTGTGTAAGAATAAATATGGTACTTATGTGTATGCAATGAATTTTCTCTAAAATTTCCTGTTTGTAAAGCGACAATTTTTTTGCTTAGGTATTCTTAGCTATTTTTCTGAAATAAGTATCATATTCGTATAATGTTATATAAATATTATACGCATGCATATATTAGGTATTATATAACCTAGATGATATATCTATTTATATTAGATAATTCCACATACACGTGTCAAGTTTGCGAAGTATTTATAATTCGCCGTCTTCAATCTTTGTTTACCCTATGTATGACTGGACATGTAGGGAACGTTGTGAGGTGTAAAGTTGTTTATTTATTAACATAGGGTTCCATGTTTCTACCATTTAGTAAATACTCGTATATTGATTTAATATTAAAAAATAGAAAATCACAGGTCCTGCTTAGGATTACCCATAGACAAATTCAACGCATGCTTTAAGAACTGACAACTATGCATGAACAGAATGAAAATGTTGCTGATTGATAAAGCTATGAGTACTTTGAAAAATTATACTTACGTCAATTTTCTTTAATTTGAACCTTACGCCGCTTTGTTAAAGATAATTTAGTATCAAAGACATGTTATTTTGATGAATCGAACACCTAATTTGTATTCTATATGCCATATTGACATTGTCACGTAGAAGCAACATGCGTATTTATTCATGTTGTATCAAATAATAATAATCCGTATCTATTAGATTACCCTGCTTCAGTTAGAAGCAGAATTAGTGTTAGTGTTAAGTTAAAACAAATACTCACGAAACAGTCTGACCGACGCATAAAATGCTTCAAATATTTTAACTCATGAAATAATAATTAAAAATGTCAAAATAATTCTATCAAAAATTTATAAAATTCTCATTGACTACTAAAAACTAATTTGATTCTATCCGAAATTTTATTATATATTAGGTACATAAAATATAGAAAATCAATAAGTCAATAAGTGGGATCATTACAAATTACTATTGCGATCCCATATTTTTATTATTCTGGATATTAAATAAATTTACAGTGAACATACATGGGTTACTATAAAACATCATTGTTGGGGCGCATGCTCCGTGTCGACCATGGGAATGAACAATTTTGAGTAATGTGATAGCATTAAAAGGACTATACTTTTTTAAACTGGGTTCTATATATCGCGTAGCAAGTGTCTTAATTAAATTATCATATGAACTTGAAGTAACACTGAAAGTTATTTTATGCCAAATCTGCAATATAGCCGAGTTTATGTCTCTCACAACACTAATTTCACGACAGTTCTGTACGATAAAATTATATTAATGATAATAATTTAAATTACGTAAGCAGAAAAGAACTATTTAAGTAATTTTACGTAAAACGAATTTAAGTAAAACTGCTAATGAAAGAATGTCGAGGTTTTTTTTCAACAATAATCCATGGGAATCAGCTATTATGGAAGTTTTGGTATGATTGAAACTCAGTCACAGGATTGAGCCCAGCCTACATATCAAAGGAGCGTCATCATATTTCATAACATCTTCTCATTAAGAGAAGGGTTATTTAAGGCATTTAATTATGATATGTTAAAAACAATAATCGCGATCGGGGAGTATTTTATATGTACATGTATAGGTAGTATCCAGAAACAAAGAGCACCTAAGGTAGACGAATATGACCGCCAATAATTTACTATTTAATCGCTGTATTTCTGCTCTCGCTGATAACTGTCGAAATATAAGATATTGAATATTACGAATACAACGAGATAAGATCCTATTATTTCTTTAATATTACGTGTTAACTGCTATTTGCTGTAGTTCAATACTACAAGAGGACGTAACATCTGGTTGGTAGACAATTATCGCTGTATGCTGTGTTGTCGTATTGACTCCTGATTAGTAATGTAGTTTTTTATAATTATCTTTATGCAATAAGTATTCATGGTAGGTATCAGTCATTGGTTTGTGATTGTTGTAATCAATCGATATCTACTTCTTTAATACGTACCGGACTAAAGTACAACCATACTCATGTATCAAAAATTCTGTAGGTATATATTTGCAACTGTGTTGTCAAAAATTTGACATGTCGAGTCGAGTTTATACCGCGGATAGTAAATATAGATGGTAGATATTTTTTGGAGTCGAATATTTATAGTTACAGTCATTAAAATAACTAGTAATTTGTAACACTCAGTCTACTTTGTGTAATACAGTTTCAAAATTAGGACGCTGGGAAGGTAACGTACCTCCCAGATGAATTACCTAATTTAGAGACCTATGTATATGAAACGATATGAAACAATATTAACAGGACTTTAGGAGTAGCATTGTTTATGCTACTTTATTAAGGTTCTCTATATTATTGATCTTTAAACTAGAAGATTTTTCAGCTTTTTTTTCTAAAAGTATATCTTTCATCTTTCATGATCGTAAAAAAATTGTGGTTTGATGATTGTAACCTTCAGTTCACGTACACATTGTAGAGAAATTGTCAATGATATCAAATAAAAATCATTTATTCATTGACGTTCATCAGTGGCTAAACTGTTCTATATTTTAGCTACTGATGAACGTCAAGTTTTAGTGTTAACATATTTCGCTACCTTCCAGTTCATTGTACAATTCAATTGAGAAGATCTGGTAATAAACTCAACTGAATTTCTTTATTTTTAAAAGCCAGTTAGTCCATTGTACTCTTATATAGATGTCTATGTCTAACATTAAATGAAACTCCCGTGCATGTACAACTATTACCATCAACAATAACAACAGCAACAAAATCATATATTAGTAACTATAATATGGAGGATGAATTTATGAGAAGTGATCTATGTCTAGCAGTTACAGATTTAGACGATTGTTATGGTATCTACAGATGTGAGAAATAATAACCAATATTATATGGATTCAAATCTAAATGCATCAAATGTACTCATTATTAGTGGGCATCGCGCATAAATATAAAAATCCAGTGAAGTGTGCAAAGGAAGTCACAAGTTTTGTCGTTATTAACCCGAGGTCGCTCATGCGTATGCCTGCATGTACTGTGATATATAAAAAACATATGTACCTGGTATGGTAAATACATATTTTGATTTACTTTCATGACAGTGATAATAGATTTTTGATATATTAGAAATAAATGATATATCCAAGTATCAAATGCTGCTTTTGACAGTTTCATATTTTGCATAGAGCTAATTTGTTTGAGGTGATGCAACAAACATCCATTAGGGAACTTGTTTCCTTGAATATTATTTCTTTAGATTTAAACTTTGATAATTCTTAAATTATATCTCCTTTTTATATGTGCACTTATTATATTCGAATATAAAATACCCAAATTTATAGCTTTCTAAAGGTTATTGCATAGACAACTCTTTAAAGAGAATGTGAAGTAGACATATTAATTTTAAGTTTTCATGAATACAAATCTTTATAGCCTGCGAAGAATTGAACCCGTAATCATAGTAAGTAAGTTGGAGTGCTAAATTA